CCAGCGGGGTCCTTAGACTGCCCCCCCAGAGCACCCATGGCCCCCCGCCCAAGTCTTAGTCACGACAAATATTTTTAGTAAAAGTCATGGACAGGTCATGGGCCTGTGAATTTTTGTTTACGGTCCGTGACCTGTCCATGACTTTACTAAAAATACCTGTAACTAAAACGTAGCCTTATTTATAGCAAATGAGTCAAAACTTAACTGAGCTTTTAAAAAACTAGATTCACTTTTCAATAATATGTCTAGATCATGGGTTCTCAAACTGTGGGTCGGGACCCCAAAGTGGGTCGCGACCCTGTTTTAATGGGATCGCCAGGGCTGGCTTAGACTTGCTGAGGCCCAGGGCCAAAGCCCAAGCCCCACCACCTGGGACTGAAGCCCAAGCCCTGGACAGTGGGGCTCAGGTTACAGGCCCTCTGCCTGGGGCTGAAGCCTTTTGGCTTCGACTCCCCCCCTCCCCGCCAGGAGCAGTTGGGCTTGGGCTTTGCTCCCCCACACTCCCTTCCTGGGTCAGTAGGGCTCGGATGGGCTCAGGCTTCAGTCCCCCCTCCTGGGGTCATGTAGTAATTTCTGTTGTCAGAAGGGGGTTGCAGTGCAATGAAGTTTGAGAACCCCGGTCTAGAGTACTAGGGAAGGTTTCAAACCACAACAGCACTGTTTTTATGTTTCCTAATATTGTAGTAATCATAAAAATAGAGTTTAAACTTAGATTTACCAAAGTTCATTTGTCTTTTTAACTAATCTTAGTTTAATCCACTATCAAGAAGTTTGACATTAGTCATAGCGCTATGTCAAATTCTTTTTAAAGAATTTGTCTAATGATTCCTGATAATGGTGTAACATTATTGTTAAAATACAGATAGTAACTAACCCTACATAAGAAATACGAAACATCTTTACCTCTGCTTCAATACCTATTACTGAATCTTTTCAGCATGTGATACATCACTCACTACAGCTAGTACAAATAATCTGAGTATACATTCATAAATTCTGTATATGATTCTTGAATAATCTATATTTAACTTTGCATTGGCAGTGCTTGGTCAATCTAATATTGCTTTGATTTCTAATTTTTCAAAACAAAGTAAAAAGCAAGCTTTTATCATAAATCTGACTATAACAGAGGCATTACTTACAGCTTCATTGTTACAACTGAGTTTAACTGTGCACTTAAAAAAAGATTCAGTATCTCCAATTTGCAAGAAAATTAGTGTATCGTGCCCCAAATTACAGTATTCTCTGAATACAGAATGAAATTTCTGAGAAGTTACAAATCAACTCCTAAATTTGGTCATAATTTAAACTATTTGATTTTAATAATGGAACAGCAGGCTTCAGTTAAAAATTCACATATAGTCTAAGTTAGCTTAATTACAACCTAATGCAGTCAAAGTTATTAACTACTGCATCTAGTTAAGACTAGAGTTGGATGAAAAATGAATACTTTTTAGCAAATATTTTAGAGAAAAATTTTACCCTGTTTTTAAATCAAAAACATTCAAAACTCAATTTTTCAGCCAGCTCTACTTATAACTACAGGCAGCGTGAGGTTAATAACTTAGAACACACTTAACTATTCTGACAGTGGTAACTCAGACTATCACCACTTTTCTTCTACAGAGAAATTGCATGCCACAATTATTTTGGTTGTAATGAGTTAGTGGTGAGAGAAAGACTGGGTTTTTTGGGTCAAGAGTTCTGATGGGGAGATTGCTTAGCTGTTGTCACTGCACTGGAAACAACTGTGCCTGCTCTTAAAAAGTTCCATGGATGACACTAGCAAATAAGGGCTAAATTCAGCAGTACAGTACTCTGTAGTTGCTTACAGTGCTCCAATGACAAAGCAGCTGTAAATCTTATTGACCTGACTAATATATTCTGGCTTCTTTGTGCTGCTCCAAAGTGATTCAAAGCAGTCAAAACATACCAGTGAATCTGGCCTTAATTTACAATTTAAAAATAGTTTAAGATTGATACAATACACATTTTTAACTCGGAGAAACCACAAGCTATCATCTTTAAATTTGTTTCTTCTTTAAGGTTCATGCAAGACATTTTTAATTTTAAAACAATAAAACTATGTTAAACCAGAGTTCAAAGAGAGGACATATCTGGAATTTAAGAGTAAAAGTCATGGCAATCACTGTAATAATTCCAAAACCAACCATTATAAATCTGAATTCAGAATTAATGTTAAGCTTAAAGGAAATCGAAATGTGTTAAGGTGTGGAAACAGAGTTGAGACACCCGAAAAACTTTAATTCTACTCTCTCACGACACCTTGCATTAACCATATAATTAAGGCTGAACCTGAATTTCCTATGAATGTTTGTAGTCCCCGAACAGGTTAAACTGATTTTTAAGGCTCATGATGAGAAGAAAATATGAGAACAGAGAAACATGGAATCACAGAATTAAAGGCATAACAAGAGCAGCAAGATTTTCACAGGTGCAGTCTGAAATATGACAGTTTCTTGGTTATACAGATGGGACAGAATGAGGTAGTGCACAAAAACACACACTAAAGGTCAGGGCCCAGAGACGCCTACTGGCCAACAGATAAATCAGAAGGTTGCATTATTCTTGTAGTTTGCAAAATTACTTCTCTCATAGACACACTGGCTACAATTAATTATTGGATCCCCTGTGCTTTCGAAAGGTGGACATAATTTGAGTAAGTAAAGTCAAACTGTAAAAACACACTTAATTTTAATGTTTCACCAGCATTTACTAGTCAAGGAGTTGATTCACAGAGCTAATATTTCTCTTGTGACTGGCTCTGCTCACCCTATGTCACAACTTAATTCAACTCGAGAATGTGAATAAATACAGCACCCTTCCACCTCCTGTGCTTAGGAGGGTCTCCAAATGGAGACAGGTGAACATGTCACTGAAATCCTCAGCAATCTCCGAGGGTAAGAGTGAAAGATGAGCGCAGACCCTGCTCACCGGGAAGGTGAAACCAAAGGGATTCATCGCAACAACATTCTCCCTTGTTGTGCACGAAGAAGCAGCCACCAGCAGGTCCCCCACTGTGACCCAGCCTGGGAAGAGGTGAGCACCCTACTCACTCCTGCCCCTTAGGTCATTTTCACGTGGCAAACCCAACACCCAGCTCCCCAGGAACTCACTGCTGACTCTGAGCACAGACTCCACAGCTGTCACAGAAGCAGCAGGGCCTAAGCTGTCAGTGTACACATTAACGCCTATCCCCTTCAGAGCTGAATGGGAGAATCAGGCACTGCAGCCTCCCTGTGCAAGTTGCAACATTCGCACATCCCTAAACTGCAGCCCATGGCAAGAAACAGCCACGTGCACAGTCAAGGCTGCCCTAATCCCAAATGGGGCTGTAAGTATTTTGGCTGGGGTGAGCCCCATTCTGCCCCACCCCCGGTTCTGGGCAATACCCCACTGCATACTGTCTCAGCAGCATCTCAGCAGCTGCTGCCACCATGCACTGACTCCCACTCCCAGCAGTGGGAGAATGGAGGGTTAGAACCCAGCTTGCACCAGCCACCGTTTCCCCCCAACAGCCCCACAGGGTTCTGCCTAACCGACCCTGGAGCCCACATGGGACCCACATCTGGCCTCCCCTCTCCCCACCACTGCTGCAGATTGCCCCACGCAACCTCACACAGCTACTGCTAGGCAGGATGGAGTATGTAGTGTGCCTGTACCCCCATCCCATCTCTCTAGCACATCACATGCTCCAGGTGCTGCTGCTGGGAAAGAAGGCCATCTGGTGTGATAGCCCCCACCCTTAATCCTGCATCCTCTCCACCTGTCCCCACCCAGCGCATTACAGACCATGGGGGAGAGCACCTATCTAGGATGAAGAGAACAGGTTGGAGGATGAGCCTCAAAGTGGGGACAGGGGCTTGGGGGAGAGGGAGAGCATGATACCCGGTGTAAAGACAGAGTTCTTGGCCCAGGGTTGCGGAGGAAGCAGGCTTAGGTGCATAGGTCCCCAAAGAGGCGCCATCTTGCCTTAAGTCAAAATACCTGGGCACGGAAACTGCCCTGGGAAGAGAACAGTGACTGGGGAATGGGCACAGTACATGCCTGTCCATGGCAGACTAAAACTTAGATGGAGGGCCTCACACCTGCCCAGGAGCCGAAGGTACCAGCTGTTTTAGCTGTCTGGGGGTTAGAGAGTAGGTGCAACACATGCCAAGGTGGATCCGGTTGAGGAGAGTACCTTACCTGCCGCAGAGAACTGGGTAGAGCAGGATGCACATTAAGCACCCAGTGAGCTGGCTGGCAAGGATTACATGTGCTAGCTGGGTAGCAGAGGCAGGGTAGATAAAGGGGGTAGCAGCTCAGAGACACAGGTATGGGCAGAAGAAATGGGCACCTTACCTAACTGGGAGGTCCAAGTGGTGGTACATTAGCTGAGTGCATTGCCTTGGGGTGAGGGTGTAATATCCACATGGATGATCTCAGCTGCAGGGTGAGTGCATTACCCACCCAGGTGGGGAAACAGCAAATTAGACATACTACCTATCAGAATCACCCTGCCACAAGTAGTCACTAGGCCGGGTGATTTGTTTGGGGGACTCCAGCAAGGGAGGAATAAGGGAGTGAGCTCTGTTACCAGGTACCCCCCTTGGAGGAATGGTATTTGCACAGAGGCTCTAGTGAGGGAGGTATTACGTACCTCAGACCCTCGGGATTTTGGGGTTACTACCTCGCTAGCTGGCTCGTTATCTAACTCTGGGTCCTTGGGGGCCAGGCGCTACCTGCCCGTTGACTCCGGGTGGGCCCATGGCGAGTGGGTGCGTTACCTGCCCAGGTGGGAGGCCGGGGGTTCCCTCTGCGGACACCCTAGGTAGCAATGGGGGTACGTTACCACCCTGAATGGTCGCATTAGTCCTCTATCATAGGACCGCCCTGGCAGCTAAGGAGAAGAGTGCATGACATGCCAGGTAGCTGCCTACTGGCTGGGGGGAGGGCGTCCCGCTTGGCCCGGGAGCGGGAGGCCTGGGGTGCGTTACCTGCTCGTGTGGCTCCCCGGATCCCTGTCGCTCAGCGCCGCCGTGTAAATCTTCCGGTATGTGTCTGCCAGGGCCCGGCCCGAGAGCAGCAGCTGGTAGCGGTCCCTGCAGCCCGGAGGTGGCGGCCCCGCCGCCCCTGGCAGCGCCCCGAGCCCCATGGCTGAGCCCTCCTCGGACCCCACGGCCCCCGCCGGGCAGGACCCGCGGGAAGAGGAGAAGAAGAAGCCGCCCTCGGCCCCAGTCTCGGTGGCGGCGGCTCCTGCGGCGGCCGCGCACATCCCTCTCCCCGCCCCCTGGCGGCTGAGCTGCCTCCCCGGCGAGACACGGACACAGGCGGCTCTCGCTGCCTTCAACGCCGGGGCCCGGCCATGGGGAGGCCGCAAACGCCAACACCGGCCCCGGCGCTGCTCATCCAATCGGGCCGGGGCAGGGGGCGCAGTGACACCTCTTCCCCCAGCGGCCCCGCGCTGCCCTGCCGCCGCCTCCTCCGGCTGGAGACCCGCCCGCAGCGCCCGCGCAGCCCCCTGCTGCCGGCGGAGGCCGGTCCCGGAAGGGCCGCGCTGGGGACCGGAGCGCGCTTGTGTATCCGCTGGGGTCCCGGGGGCCCCGCGCCGCTCGCTCGCTCCCGACTCCCGCTGCAGGGGGCGAGGCCGGCGCTGCTTCCCCTCGCGGAGTTTCTCTCACAGCCGCCGCCGCCCTCCGCGCAGCCACCTCGGCCCCACCCCCTCCGGGTGTCAGACACACACACACACGGAGCGACTGCGCAGGCGCGACAGAGCCCTCAACGCCCCCTCCCCGGGAAATCCGGGAGCGAGCCCTTCAGTTCTCACCAGTCTCCCGCGCGCTCGCACCTGCTGCGCTGGGCACCCGGCTCCAGCCCCCAGCTGCCGCCACCCTGCAGCGGCGGACATAGGGGAGGCTGCTGCTCACTCAGCCTTCCCCAGCCCTGTGCGTACACGTATGCAAGTGCACTCGTCTACATAGACAAAGCACACATCACACTAATGTCTGAGTGCCCTAGCAGATCAGGGCTCAATTGTGATCAGCACTTTATAAACATGCAGGCACGGTATGGCAAATTCTAGCAGTTGGGACTTCAAGAAAAACACCAAATATTACAAGAATTGGCGACACAGTCGTCAAAGCTTTACAGCTTCAGTGATTCCAGTCACAGCATTTAGTCCTTGATATAGAGTCTCAGCTTTCATTTTACAACTACCTTTCTAGTCCTTATAGTTGCAGAAATAACCTAAAAGTGAGCATAATCCAATGAAGTAGTAGATTCCTGAGTCTGAAACAATGCATTTAAGAAGTGTGAACTGTCTTATTCACATGTGAATTCCACAATTTTCTAACCCCAGAATTCATCATTTTTGCCATGGAATTCCCATTTTTGCTGCAGCCAGGGCGGCATTTTGTTTGATCTCTCTCTGTTACCAGAACCTGCCTGCTGCTGCCTTTTTGTTTTCCAGCTTTCCCCACAAATGGCAATTAACTGGATAGGGGAGCAAAACAAACAATTAGTCAGATTTGGCGCATGACTTCCACTACTGTCACTCCAGCCATCTTCCTTCATGCTTCCGTTTTTACAGATTACTGCTAAACCATGGTGGCCTATAAAGATAAGGCAAAAGGAGAGGATGCCTAGGTTCCACTTCACTGATACTTAGGGCCCTACAAAATTCGTGTCACGGACCGTGAAATCTGGTCTTTTGTGTGCTATTACCCTATACCAGATATTATGGGGGAGACCAGCATTTCTCATAGTGGGGGTCCTGACCCAAAAATGAGTTGCTGGTGGGTTGCAAGGTTATTTTAAGGGGGTAGCGGTATTGCCATCCTTCCGTCTGTGCTGCCTTCAGAGCTGGGTGGCCAGAGAGTGGCAGCTTGTAGCCGCAGAGCAGTGGCTGGTGGCCGGGCGCCCAGCTCTGAAGGCAGTGCCTCACCAGCAGCAGCACAGAAGTAAGGGTGGCAATACCATATCATGCCATCCTTACTTCTGCGCTGCTGTGGTGGTGGCGCTGCCTTCAGAGCTGGGCTCCTGGCCAGCAGCCACCGTTCTCCAGCTGCTCAGCTCTGAAGTCAGCGACACCGCCAGCAGCAGTGCAGAAGTAAGGGTAGCAGTACCGCAACCCCTCCTACAATAATCTTGTGACCCTCCCCACACACTCCTTTTTGGGTCAGGACCCGTACAATTACAACATAGTGAAATTTCTGATTTAAATAGCTGAAATCATGAAATTTACAATTTTTTAAATCCTATGACAGTGAAATTGACCAAAGTGGACAGTGAATTTGGTAGGGCCCTACTGATACTGAAGTAAAAATGTCAGTATATAGTTCTGCCAACCCATAGATAGAGTGGGCTGTTACAGAAAGACTATATTTTTTGGAATAGAATTTAATGTTTTCTATTCAGTTCCTCCAAAACACTCCTAATTATATGTATTTCAGTACAGTTAAAAATTGTGTTTCTGTTTTACTCTCAAATATACATATCTATACATTTCAAATTTTGACAGGTATGGTTTCAATGAGATGTTATAAATCATTCTCCATATTTAAGTCTTTTTTCGTTCAAATTGTAACAAAATTTACTGTATAGCCGCTGTGGGCTACATTGGTCCTTTTGGCTTCTTCATTTATAAGAGTTCTAAATCACATCATTTCTTCTCCATTCCCACCACTAGAATCCTTGTTTGTGCCCAGCTGATCATTATTCAATTCAAATACTGTAAGCTCCTCTCTGCTTACCCAAACCCCATTTTGCCCTGCTCATTTTCCCAATACAAAATGCAGTCTCTTATATAACAATCTTCTCTTTCTACTTCAATCATGTCTCCTTTCTTAGGGCTTGTCTACATTGGCAAGTTTTGTTGCCAAAAACTGCCTTTTGGCGACAAAACAGTGATAGCGTACACACTGCAAGGTCCCTTTTTTCAAAAAAACCACCTACATTTGGCGACAAAAATCTTCCATCCCTGCGAGACTTTTGTCTTTTCCCCTCCCTTTACTGTCGACAAACAGCCAGTGTAGACACCACAGGGTTTTTTTCTGATTTTATTGGCCTCCAGAAAGTATCCCACAATTCCCATGCTACCGCTCTGGTCAGTGGTTTGAACTCCGCTGCCCTGCAGCCAACCCGCCCCTCCCCCTTGCAAGCCCCAGGATTTTTAAATCTCATTTCCTGTTTGCTGGCTTCCCAGAGGAGCTTCCCAGGTGACTTCCCAGGTGAGCATGGCTGGCTATCGCACCAAACGCGCTCCTGCTTGGACCACCGCTGAGTTGTTGGATCTAATCAGTAAATGGGGAAAGGAGTCTGTTCAGTCGCAGCTGCAAGTGACCCATAGGAATTGGGACACATATGGACAAATTTCTCAGGGCTTGTGCAAAAACGGCTATGATCGGGACACGCAGCAGTGCAGAGCAAAGATAAAGGAGCTGAGGCAGGCATACCATAAGGCACAGGAGGCGAACCATTGCTACAGTGGTGCACCTAAGACCTGCTGCTTCTATAAGGAGCTGAATGCTATCCTCAGTGGTGACCCCACCTCCATTCCCAATTGCCCCGAGGATACTTCGCAGGCAGCAGAAAGAGTGGGTAACCCGGAGGCTGAAATTGTGGATGAAAAAGTCAAGCTAGAAGAGGATGTGATGCTCCCAGTGGGGTCACCTGGTGCAGCAGGCAGACAGAAACTTTTCTCCACTCCAGAAGTGCTCAACGGGGAGCAGGAAGCAGATGAGACACCGGGTAAATTGCTGTGGCTTATGGAGGGAATCGAAAAGTGGGAGGCAGGTAGTGTTTTCTGTGAGCTGGACATTGCCCTGTGTAGCTAATCTGCATGGCCAAGCTGGGTGTCGATGGACATTGAGACCTGCAGGGAATCCTCCAGAGAGAGGCTCTGGAAAGTTTCCAAGAGGTACTTGTTAATCCTCTGCTGCAGATTCCAAGGGATTGCAGCCTTGTTAGTTCCCCCATTGTAGGAAACTGTACCATGCCATTTAGCAATCACTGGAGCTGGGACCAAAGCGTCACATAGCTGAGCTGCATATAGACCGGGGTGAAAGCCGCAAGCATTCAGCAGTTGGGCCCTGGTTTCCCTGGTAACCCATAGCAGCGAGATGTCAGCCAGCAGGTTGGCCGCCTGTGGAAAAGTATGTGATAATTTTAGAATGAGTTCCCTGCAAAGCTGCCTTCAAGCTATGACCATTTTGTCCCTACGCACAACCGCCTTCCCCCCACTCCTGACACTTACCATGATTGGGGTGCTTGCGGAGCTGTGTGCCTGCCTAGAGTTCAGAGAGAAAATGATTTCTACTAGCAAAAGGCCCTTGTTACTAAAATGTTTCAATCATTTGCTGGAATGTAACAATCCCTCTTCTGTTCAGCACAGACCTTGAGGAACACACCACACACCACTGTGGACCAGCTGCAGCAGATAAAAAAAAACCCTAGGCGCAGCAAAGAAGACATGTTCCACGAGGTTATACAGCGTGATGAGAGATGGACCAGGAAACGGAAAGAGTGCTGGGAAGCCGAAAGGCAGGACAGAAAAGAGAATGCTGCTTTTGCTAGGGAAGCGACAGAGCGGATGATAAAAGTTATGGAGGATCAGACAGAGATGCTCAAGTCTCTGATACAACTGCGGACTGAGCAGATCCAAGGTCGAGCACCACTGCAGTAGATGCACAATTCTTTGCCAAGCCCACCCCCCTCTATGCCCACACATTCCTTTTCACTTTACAGCACTCCTGAGTTTCTCCATCACTCCACCCCCTCTCACAGCTGGCACAATGATAGCTGGAGCTACACACAGTTGTGAGGTTTTACCCTTTTTAACAATAAATAAAGGCTAAGGTATTTAATGGTACAGCGTTTTTATTCTGTGTTCTACAAAAGCGTATAGCACTCTTTTCACTCTCGGGAACAGGTTCCTAAAGCATTGTGTTGCACGTAGCTTGGGCCCCAAAATTGTACATGGATGCAACAGGGAAGCAACTCCAAAGCAGACGTGTTATTGCCCCTCATTGTCAAAGTGGTTCCTCAAACCCTCTGGGCTCCTCTGACAGCCGTAGCATCTGACTGTTCAAACTATGCAGTCAAGCGCTCTGCTTCAGTGCTCCACACCTGAGCAAACATTTCACTCTTAGATTCACACAGATTATGCAAAGTGCAGCATGTGGCTATGACCACGGGAATATTATCCTTGGTAAGGTCTAGCCTGCCATTTAAACACCTCCAGCGGGCTTTCAAATGGCCAAAGGCACATTCGACTACCATGTGGCACCTGCTCAGCCTGTTGTTAAAATGCTCCTTGCTGCTGTCCAGGTGCCCTGTGTAAGGTTTCATGAGCCAGGGCTGTAAGGGGTAAGCCAGGTCTCCCAGGATTACTATGGGCATTTCCACATCCCCCACTGTGAACCTGTGGTCTGGAAAGAAAGTCCCCACCTGCAGCTTTCTG